ACATGACAATGAGTTCACTGTACTCAAATGGCCTCCACAGTCACCAGATCTCAATCCAACAGAGAACCTTTGGGATGTGGTGCAATGGGAGATTCACATCATGGATGTGCATCCGACAAATCTGCAGCAACTGTGTGATGCTATCATGTCAAAATGGACCAGACTCTCTGAGGAGTGTTTCCAGCACCTTGTTGAATCTATGCCACGAAGAATTAAGGCAGTTATGAAGGCAAAAGGGGGTCCAGCCTGGTACTAGCAAGGTGAACCTAATAAAGTGGCCAGTGAGTGCAGATAATTGAAAGCTGCAAGTTATTAGCTGAAATTAATAAAACATTAATTTCCTCCTATAAATCCACCATGTTGAAAATGGAATGAAGAGTGCATCACTCGGAATAAATGTGCTCTGCAGGTCCTCTGTGGCAAAGCTTCATTTTTAATATCAGATTTTGTTTGTGTGTGTAATACCGTCTAAGCTCATTGTGGAAACCTCAGATTAATTTCTGAGACTATAATAAGTCTGGAATTCTAAGAGCGAGTAGAGAGGAGCCAAAACAGAGATAAGACGATGAGAAACAAGGCTTACACAAACAAATCCAAAGACAGAGAGGACAGAGACAGGCATGATGTGGGAGACATCAGTCTCCCACAGCTCTGGCTACTGATGGAACAACTAACTCGTCTCAGAGCAAATAAACATTGGTCAAACTTATGGTTCTGGAGGAGACATTGTCACAATCAAAAATACACTGAAAATATTAAGATGTCATTCCTGTCTCACTTTTATTGTTCTTTTAGCTGTTGGACATTGTGGGCTGTGACAGGGAAATGTTTTCATTGAGACTAAATTTTAAACTGAAAAAGATCTAATGAAAGATTATTTGTCTTTTGTTGGGTAAACCTAGAAATCTGAATAATTTGACCAGCTGCTGTTCAAACATCTGTCCAACAGTCCAACACAGGAAGGAAATAAAAATATCAATAAGTTTAAATGAAACAAGTTTATAAGTAAATACTGTTTATAAGACAAAAGAGTTGTGTTTATAATATGTAAAGTACTGTTGAAGTAAATGAAAGTGTGTGCCTAAAGGAGCAAAGATTGATTTGAATGCATTACAATAAAACCCTGCATGGTTTTAGGAATTTATGTGAGAGAAAATGAAACTGCATTTAGTGCAACACACACACACACACACACACACACACA